TGTTGATGATATTGAAGTGGGCGATAGCTGATTGTGGACCCTCCGATGCGCCGATGCGGTTGATTTATTGTGTTGAAATCCCCCGGATTTGGTGAGTTTCAAAATAATATAATGCTCAGTATGAAGTGTTTAAGTGTTTATGAGTTCTATTCATGTTCAAAGTGTTTATATGAGTTTAGATGCATTTATTTGGTTAGTTGATATGTGTAATGTATTGAAACGGGGTGCATTATAATTCTGAAGAGCTAAACAATGCTCATCAGCAGAGTATTATCATTTATGTAAATGAATGGTTATGTGTGACAAGAAAAATGTTAAGATGGTATTTTTCACCCAGTTGTGATAATGTATGCAAGATATGTTGTTTAAAAGTTATATTAATTGTCTATGATGTGTATGGCACTGTTTGTATGAACAGGTCAGGTTTTTGTGAAAGTCTGGAATAAGCTGTGATACTGAGATGGCGAGCCTCCCAGTCTAAGAGCCGAAAAGGAAAGAAGAGAATTCACGTTCTGTTGAGTGATCTGTGCCTTGTCTACCCTCACAAGTGGAAATCATTTCAGCCTTATTGGTATTTCTCATCGATTACCTCAACGTTGCACAGAACTGATTTTTGCACTACTGAATGTTTACACCATAGACAATTGCACATGTTATACAAAGATCTTTTTGCATTTTTCATCATTCGGATCCATAGGATTATTTTCTTTGCACACATACTTGAACTTTGTTCCATTGATTTGAGAATGGTTTATCCTCAGTGAACTATTGACAAGTTGTATTATTATTTTTGTGTTCTTAATGTGATCTGTTTATTGGAAAGTGTATATTGTGTTGTAGGTTAAAGGCTTTAATTTAACCAATTTAATAAGAAACAAAGCGCCAAAATTAGAGATTATAAAGTAACACCAAACTAAAATTGAGTTTAAATCAAATTAAACACAAATTAATATACCAGGAAGGACGATCTATGAGCCAAAGAGACAAACATAATATGAATATGAACAATATATACCATAATTAGGTTAAGTAACTATAAAGGAGCTCAAACCCTAAATGTTTTAAAGGGGAAGAGGTGAAAGGGACAATTTCATTGTTATACATTTTTATTGTTTCATTGTCATTTTCAATTCATATGTACGTTCATTTAAATCTTCCTAATAAGTAAATGAAAATCAATCTTGGTGGAAGTTATTCTCACTGGTCTGTCTGTTTCTTGTTAATGTGCATACTTTTATTCTTGCCCTCTGTAGCGAACCTAGCATTCTGGTCCAATTCAGTGTTTCTAATATACTGATAGCATTACCTGTTACACAATCCATCTTGGATGCTTTTTGGTCGGCCATGATGAATTTATTCTGTGAGCAATTTTATTCACTTACTTAAAAACAATTAAAGCTTTTATTAGGCTATTGCCATGACTGGAGTCTCGCATGTGATTGCTTTTAAACATATTTTTCAACTGTATTATTGATTTGTTCCTGAGCGCACTTTTAAAAACAGAATTTTCCAAATAAATATCTGTTTGTGTGAGCAGTTTTTCACACCAAACTGATAATATCTACCCTGAGCACAATCGTACATAATCCTATTGCATTTTCTGCCATCTTCTCTCAAATACACCATGTCTGTTTCTTGTTAATGTGCATACTTTTATTCTTGCCCTCTGTAGCGAACCTAGCATTCTGGTCCAATTCAGTGTTTCTAATATACTGATAGCATTACCTGTTACACAATCCATCTTGGATGCTTTTTGGTCGGCCATGATGAATTTATTCTGTGAGCAATTTTATTCACTTACTTAAAAACAATTAAAGCTTTTATTAGGCTATTGCCATGACTGGAGTCTCGCATGTGATTGCTTTTAAACATATTTTTCAACTGTATTATTGATTTGTTCCTGAGCGCACTTTTAAAAACAGAATTTTCCAAATAAATATCTGTTTGTGTGAGCACAATCGTACATAATCCTATTGCATTTTCTGCCATCTTCTCTCAAATACACCCATTGTCCCTTACAATAACATGTATCATGAGTATCCTGAAGCATGCTGTCTTCTCAGCCAGTTTTAAAAAGTCCACTAGGATGAACAACATTTACAGGTGTTCCCAAACAGTACCATTCATTTTCTAAATTAAGGTCTCAGATACAGGTACACAAGCAGAGCTTGGCAGCAGAACAAGATATTAATAATAGATTAGATATAAGATTGATTGTTCTTCACATAGCTTACATTTCACATGTGATCAACACTACAAATTTTTTTTTTAAAGATCTTTTATGGTGTCTTACCCTAAGCTGAAGGATAAAAGATAGATTGTGCGTATGTGTTTTAATTGAGCATTTGCATTTAGGTCATGAGGTATGACAAGCAGAGCTTGGCAGCAGAACAAGATATTAATAATAGATTAGATATAAGATTGATTGTTCTTCACATAGCTTACATTTCACATGTGATCAACACTACAAATTTTTTTTTTAAAGATCTTTTATGGTGTCTTACCCTAAGCTGAAGGATAAAAGGTAGATTGTGCGTATGTGTTTTAATTGAGCATTTGCATTTAGGTCATGAGGTATACAAGCAGCTGGCCTACCCTGCAGGAGTCATTAGAACGGAGGCTCTTCCCTTTGTCAGACACGAGAGATTGCACGGCTTAACCCTGAGTCTCACTACAGGCACAATCAGTAACAAAAGTCTATACCTGGGCGGCTTCCTAACTTCAATGCCTGTGCCTCGCGCTACCAAAGTGGAGGGGGCTTAGAGTTTGACTCGACTTTTATGATTGAGGCCCTTCATCTTCCCTATTCTACATGCCATAGATTATACAAACATGAATGCATGAAAGCTGGTGAAATGCTGAAAGACATGCTTAGTGACTCAGCCGTTAGCCATTTATAGCGCCTGAATCGTTTTGTTATTTCTTTCACCCTCTTGAGTCGTTCCTTTCCCTGCTCTTCCATCAATGAATGCATCAACAAAAGGGTGAAGCTCAATTGCTGGCCTAATCTCTCCAGTGGGGATGAGAATTGATTTATGATCTTGTAGCTTTGCTGTCTTTTTCATTTGCCCCTATTCTACTCTATAGTTTTTAACACCAAACTTATTAAAGCCCTTAATAAGCAATGTAACGATTGTTAAATATAAAAACAAAATATATATTGTGTGTTTGATTGGTCCAGACGCTACAGCAATACCTGACTTAATTAGTCCATTCTAACTATAAAACAATTGACTATACTGATTTTTGACAACCACAGCAGCTATTGATACTTCACATTTTCTCATTTCTGCTAGGGAAGCTAAAGAACACCCTTGAAAGTGGGGGTAGTTTTCCCACAAGGTCTAGATATGTAGAAATGAAACAGAATTATGGAATTTCCCCTGCAAATAAAACCTGAGTGGACTTAATGGGAGTGACCGTAACACAATTAACCTTATCATTTGTCACTACAAATGATGTCCGCAGGGATTTTAAAATTGACAAACCTGTCATCGGCACTCATCCTACAGCTATGATGAAAATTACGTCTTTGTCTTAAAGGATGATAGTTGGGTAGTCTCTACATCATTCACGGGGTCACTGGTGAACCATTGCCATAAGGAGTTACTTGAAAGCCTATAATGACAGATTAAAAGATTCTCCAGCTGTATTTATTACAAGCAGACAGCAGGAAGTTGTCTTATGAATGCATGAAATCATTGATTCCCCTTCAAGAACTCGAGCTGCATCGAAACACTACAGGCCTCCAACATGACCATGCTCTGAATCACATGTGTAATCAGTCCAATGGATGGGCAAGACGTCATGGGCCGGGTGACGTAGCGACCAGGAAGCATAAAAGCACGTGCGGTGAAGTCGGCGTCAGCTTTCTGTCATTCAGCAAGCGCTCTGTGTGTGTCAGTCTTATTTGGTGTTGTCTGTCCATTATCACTCTTTATTTTACCAATACGAGTGTAGACAAACATACAACGAGAGCAGGCAGCATCTCAGGCTGTGTGTTCTTCCCTGCCTGTGCTACACTTCGGGTGGGGATACACACAGTTTGTGTGTTGTCTGCTTGGGAGCAAAGCATGCAGAGTCAGCTCTCGAGGCAGTGTCACTGTGTATGCTTTGCTCTCCGAGGGCTCTCTTTGAGGAGGGAGTCTTCACCGGCGTTTCTCGCTGCGGCGGCCCCGCTTTCGCCGTGGCGGAGCGGCGGCTGTGCTCGTCAGGTTCGCATATGGATTCGGTGGAGAGCATGTAGACGGGCGAGTCCCTATCTTCTTCCTCACCCACCAGATCCAGCGCCCGCTCTTGGGGTTTGGAAGCCCGCGCTGCCATTCTTTCCCTCTGGTGAGAGGGCTCGACGCTCCGCCTGTCTTCCTCTGAGGAGGTTGATATGGAGGGCGTAGAAGAGCTCACCAGTTGCACATGCATCAGTTACACAAGCATATTATGCCTAATATTATAATGAGCAGCTTTACTGTGGAGCGGAGTTCGCGCAGTCAGCTCTCGGGAAAAAGAGAGGGGGCTGATTGTGTGCTGTTAAACGCTCTGCTCTCGCCGGGCATGCTCCGAGGAGTGTGTCCGTGCCTGTGATCTTGCAGTTACGGTCCCGCTGCTGCTGAGGCATGGCAGCGATTGAGATCGCGGGGATTGCACATGATCTGGTGGACGGGCTCTCCCCATCTCAACCCACATTCCCTAGATCTAGCGCTCGCTCGAGGTTCGGAAGCCCGCCCTACGGTTCTTCCCCCTCTGAGTGAGAGCTCGCTGCTTCAGCTATTTTTCTCCAAGGAGATTGATATTGTTTGTGTGACCAAGCAGCTCGCGTGCTGCCGAGGCAATGCATGTATTACATTGTAGGGATTTCTTACTATGAACGGACACTGATATCAGCCATCACGAGATTTGCTAAATCACCCAGCACATGAGTCCCATATACTTGGTCTATGTCCTGTCAGTATGGTGAACTCATCTACTCATGAGATCGAAACTAATTCGATCAGGAGACAACAAAGCTATCTTTGGTATCAGGACTAAAAGGCCCTTTCACAACATATGGATACCTTCCTGACTGCGAAGCTGTCAACTAAGCAAAACGCAAGTACAAACAAAACTCCTATCTGCTGACATTGGTGTTGAACTGGTGAATTGAGTTAAGCAGCAAAGATAAGACAATCTCTGCTTGGTATTTCTCCTAGGCTGAATTTAAACCCACTCGTGAAAACGAGTTAGGACTTAGAAAACTTCATGCAACTCCGTTGACTCATTTACTTGAATCTTTGTGTGTATGTGTGTGTATGTGTATGTTTTACGTTAGGTTTTTATGTAATCTAGATTAGCCAATAAAATTCATGTTTCATTTATAAAGAAGAAGTGTCTGGGGTCATATAATTTCAAGGTTAAAACTGTTGCCAAAAGATCCCTTGCTACTTAGCTCGTAGCTTACTTATAATAATTACCTCTGTTAAGAGCTTACAAATAATCATAATTGTGTTGACCGTGGCCAGGAAAACACATATTTAATTTGTTAAAGATACTAAGAATCACCGGCTCGCTGGACGATCCTGGATTTAAAGTGCAAACTAACAAATTTGAAATCAGTTTAATCAGGTGGACTTGGAACATTCAGATCCGAGTCCTCGCAAAACCTGAATGTAGTAATAATCATTAATTCCCTACAATTACAAATTAATAATGAATAAATTATATGTCATTACAACATCATTTTCAGTTTTTGATGTGAATCTTGCCAAGTAATTGTGGCCGTTCAGTGGGAAGACATCCTCTTCTTATACGTTTCCTCCGCGGTGCGCTGAGGCCGAGGTCAGAGAAGCTTATGCTAAGTGGTGGATCAGGATGCTATTCCATAGCCTTGAGTCCTCTGATCTCCCCTCTCCCTTGGGGGTCAAGGTTCACTCCTCCAGAAGTTGGCCTTCGGGACGGTGGGCCCACCTACTTTAGCCACTCCTGGCTCCCTTTTCTCTCTCCTTAGTTGTGCCCTTCCACACTAGGCAGGGATTTGCATGTCTGGCGGCGTGGGCATTCTCGTTCCCGTAGCATTTCGACACAACTCAAGTTCCTGAAGGGGAACGTCTCCAGGTTACGCATGTAATCATGGTTCCCTGAAGGGAACGAGATGCTGCGTCTCAGGGTCATACTTCCGGCATCCCTGTCAGCGCTTGCTTCACTCC